TTTTGATGCAGCCGATTTGGTGAGCGACATCGACATTTGGGGTGAGTGTTCACACTCTCATTTGGGTCTCAGCATGTGAGGCATTTGTTTGGTTGGTGTCGGCTCAGTTTTGGGAAAACTTCGCCGAGGTGGAGAATTGTGGAGAAGAATTGGAAAAAGCAGATTTTTGGTCATAAGTCGACTCATGCACAGGCATAAGTCGACTTATGGTAAGTCGACTTATGTTGGTGCATGAGTCGACTTACGTTCTGCTCTGGATTGTTGGTTTTTTGCTCTGCCAAGTCGACTTATCAGGTCTGATAAGTCGACTTATGATCTCTTCTCCAGTTGCTGTTTTTCGCTCTGCCAAGTCGACTTATGCAGACTGATAAGTCGACTTATGACGGGTTTTTTGGAAAGTTCAGGTTCCTATTTGCAGTCTGTTTGGGTTTCTGTTTTGGTATAAATACCAATACGATTTGAGGGTTTTGAGAGGAGAGTTTTGGGGTTTTGGAGCACAGAAAAAGAGAGATCTTTCTGAGCTATTTGTTAGGGTTATTGGTTGAGAGATTGAGAGATTTGTTGGTGAGATTAGTTGGTTCGTTTGAGCGATTTGTAATCTCAATTTGTACTCTCCTTCTCTATTAGTGAAAACCCACCCCCTTCTTGCCCCGTGGACGTAGGCAATTTGCCGAACCACGTAAAACCTTGGTGTTTGTGTTTTGTTTGGTCTTTCTCTCGGCGTTCGTTGGTTTGGTTTCTCAAAGCATCAGTCACAACACATATCGATGGTATGCATCGATGCTGGTCTAATTAGCTTCATCGTTTTCCGATTTCATCTTTTACTGTTATCGTTTACTTGGTGAGATAGTTGGGGTGTAGATATGCATTTGCCTCGAGGGACATGGTTTAAATTAGAATTGGTGTAATGGTGTTCCAAATGTTGTAGTGCCTTTCTAGACTGAACCATCCATGCTAGTACTTTAATTGTTTATTTGTAGTTTTAACATCTACAACTATGGAATGTCTACTTTCCCCCCAAATTCTGCAATTATATGATGTCTTCATGTTTTCAGATACTTATTCAAATCACTTCTATTCGATATCCTACATCTCATAGTAGTGGAGCATATGAGCTTTTCGTGTAGTGCCCTGTAACAGTAATAACATTCTTAGGTACTATTTGGTTCACTATAACTGTAATCCCAATGCAAGTGTCAGTTGCATGCAGCTACAATTGCTTCAACTGCCATTGAGCATATGAGCTTTTCGTGTAGTGCACTGTAAGTCTGTAACAGTAATAACATTCTTAATTAGGTACTATTTGGTTCACTATAACTATAATCCCAATGCAAGTATCAGTTGCATGCAGCTACAATTGCTTCAACTGTCATTGCATCCACTTACACTTGTTTTGGTTTGAGTTTTAAAATTTTGCAGCTTGTAACTGCAACTGCAGGTGTTTGTTTTGTCTTGCAACTTGTCCTCAATAGTAACATATATATCCTCACTTTGTTCAGACGCGGCTTTTTAAATTTATGTAGATAAATCTAAATGTTGCTCCAATTGTTGCATGCAATTATGTTTGCAGCAGTTTTATTTAATTTTAAAATTTGCAGCTTGTTACTGCAATTGCAGACATTATGGTACATAACGTGTATATTGGTACTGCTTTACAAACTATACCCTTTTCCCTGCAGGAGTACTGATACGCATAATTACAATTTGGTGATTTATCTCTGGAAATATCAAAAGAACTGCTGCAATTTTTCATTCCGTGTGTCTTCAGACGATCAAATCATGGAAAAATTGCTTCAAGGCCCCAAAATCCAAAAAGTGATGTGTCCCAGCCCCTCATATTATTTCTAATGTGCTGCAGCCCTAAACTTTTGTCAAAATTGTGTTCCAGCCCCTCCAACTCATAATTATCCAATTTTTATATGTTTTTAACCCAAAATCCTAACTTTACCGTCCCCACTTCTTCTTCAATCATCTTCCCTTCCAACCCTAGCCCCCTCAAGCCTCCAAAAACTAGAAACCCAAAAACGCAAAGCCCCAGCAACCCCCCATCCTCCTCTCCGGCGAACTCTCCGACCCCCGCGCACTCTCACTCATCTTCTCCTCAACCTCACCCCTCTCCTATCCTCCCTTCCGTTCACAAATCCACTCACCTGCATCGAGATGAGGGATGGAGAGCAGCCTCAAGACACCACGTGTCGGCCTGAATGGTTAGTCCGTCAGGTGGCGGAAGCGACAAGGGTGACCGGAGATAGGTTGGCAGGAGAGAACGAGTTGCCGAGGTATGACCAGACGACGCACGATCAGATAGTTAGCACGACTGTCGATGGAGATGCGGGGAGAATGTGCGCGTTCACGTACCTGAGGATATCGCCGGATTTTTTTTAGCCGGAGAATTGGAGGAAGTTCGTAACATGTTATCTATAGCACGTAACATGTTAACTGTTGTAGTTAACATGTTAACTGTTGTAGTTAACATGCTAACTATTATATATAAACTGATAACTATTATAGTTAACTATTATATATAAATAACAGTTAATATGTTACTTATAACAGTTAACATGTTACGTATAATAGTTAACATGTTACATATAATAGTTAACAGATAATGATTAATAGTTAACAATTTACATATAACAGTTAACAGATAATGGTTAATAGTTAACAGGATAAGGGTGTTAGTTAACAGATTATATATAACATAGTAACATAAATTATAAGTTTATAACAATAAAAATATAATACAATCAACTAATCTCTTTCTCTTCATCTCTTCCCAATAACACCAACATCTAAAAGCAAATCAAAGCAACATCAAAATTCACCAAAAAAACCCAAAAATTAAAAAAAAATCCACCCCCAAAAAAACCCCCAAGGCCTCACGCGTGAAAAAGCTATAGTCCACGTCGACGGCGGCGATCTAATGTCCGG